TGTATTCAAAGTTTTGAAAGCACTGGAATTTAAATTGTGACAATTATTGAAAAATAGTAATATTCTACTAAATCATTTAAAATGACATTCCACTAATTTTTTGCCTAATAACAAGTCAATATCTTATAGGTACATACTAATTATATATTGGAATATTGTTTCATTAAATATGATAATAAAAAATTTCTAACAACCCGGAATCTTTGAAAATTAGTTTTATTTTGTATTGCCTAAAGCGCGCCTACAATTATCACAATAATCAATCAATTATCAAAGGTTTAAAGTCTTAGCAGCACAAATACAACTGAATTTATAAGTATACAGTGCGGTGCAGGATAATGGAAGCGCATGCTCATTATAGCTCAATTTAATTATTTTATTTGCATTATAATTGTTCGAAATTAATTTCTGCTAAAAACAGTGAAAAAATTTTAATAATATGAGAAGGATTATACAAATAACAAAATTATATTATTAAATAAAAATAAAAAAATACAATGTTATAAAAACATAGAATACATTTTTATAGTTATTTTATTTTGAGTGCTTTTGTAAACCACAGTCATTCGCCGAGCTCGTTGTGATGGTGATTTTTACTAAATTTTGAATGATGAAAATTTTACTCAATTTTTTTTCAAAGGCATACGCCTTTTTCCTACAAAATTTTTTATTAAAAATCTTCAAAAAACGGTAATAGACTCTTATTGCCATTTTCATATAAATATCACCCTTATTTGCTCACAAGGGAAGCTAGAACGCTACAATCTCTGAAGAAATTTTCCAGATGGGACAACCATAGCATACAGTTGTCTTGCAAACTGATTTATCAAAATTAAGATTAAGGTCTTTTTAAACCCGTTTGTGCTATAAAAATGCACTTTTGAAGTGTATTATAGCTTCGGTGCAACCGAAGTAAACGTTTTGTTTTGCTTTTAACACGTTTCGGTTCAGTAAACCAAAGTACAATATTTGCAAAACGGTTCTATGTTATTGCACAGCGCTGTACATTTTTGAAGAGTCTTAATTATGTATATACACACTTACATAAAAAAATATTTCATATTGGCGCTGCTATTGCTTTTATTTCAACATTGTAAATATTTATAAATGTACATATGTATGTATACCATATGCATATTTATGTATGTTCCTGTGTTTTATATATAGGTGTGCATGTGAATTAATAGCTTATTGAAATAACAATAATGAAATGAATTTCTTGGAAATTTAATAAAAACAAATTATACGGATGTTTGATGCTTTTTTCGACATAATTATTAGTATATGTATACATACATATGGACAAGTACATATATACATATATATATTTATATGGGTCGAGTTAGGAGATGTAAATATTTACATATGCAAGTATGTAACAAATTGTTCTAAGTTGTTTACAAGCACTTGAAAGCATATACAAATGTACATAATATGTATGTAAGCATATATGTATATGTATGCCATTGTAATTGTATGAACATGGTAAGAAATAATATATGTACATATGTACCTATTTATATGTGTCTATGCACATCCATATTTAAACGTTTTGACTAAGAATGTGATAATGCAGCAATTATTTGCGCTGAAACAAATTTAATATATGAATATAAGTACATACATACATATGTATATATGCATTTATTTATAATTATAAATAAAAAATATATACATACATATACTTATAGAATTGTATAGGCAAACACGAATAAAAAGATATAAATTAAAATGCTCTTCTAAGCTGAATTAATGCGTGTCAGTGTGTTCGTAAGTGCGGCCTACCGGCAAAAGGAGCTAAGTTCAATTTATTTTGAGAAAAAATTTCAACAATTTACTAACCACCATAAATATTTCAGTCGAAAAAGTGATTTCATATAAATATTTTAACAATTTTTTGAAGCTTTAATGAGTGAGGCCACTCGTTAAGTCTGCCACGTAGTCTTTATAGAAAAACGCCATCAAAAACGGCATAATTTAAATTTATGCGATTTCACATACATATGTATGTAGATACGAAAGTATATATATAATAAACTTTACAAGCATTTGTATAACCTTTTTCACTTATTTACGCTGCTAATGAGCGTTTTTTAGCGCATTCTGCAAGAGAAATAAAACTAATTTCGTTGCAAACGAAGAAAAGTAACGCGATAAACACGTGCCACGAAACGCTAAACAGGAATTTGTGTATTTTTAAAAACAGAATAGTATTTGACGGCACATACATAAGTATGTATATATTTATACATATACATCTCAGTATGAATATATGTATATTGTACACACATATGCATATGCCTGTTTATATATGCCTTCAATATATTGTATAATTTGTGTCACATGTACAGTCAGCCTATAATTCAAATATGAATTTTTTATACCACACGCTAGTCAGTCAGTCAGTCGGCCTGCCGGTTGTTCGTTTGTTTGTGTGGGCGACGAGTCTTCAACTTTTGCCGTTACTATGCCAGCCCATTTGACTCTGTGCTATTATTGCATTATCTCTCTTTTAATTTTTTGAGTGTGTTTGTTTGTGTGTGTTGGTTACCCTAGTATTGTCATTGACCTTTGCGCTCCACGAAATAAGCGCAAATGAGCACAAATTCAAATTATGTAAGTGTTATATCACTTATGTATACATATATTCGTACTTATTCCGAAAGACACAAAAGCCGCGACTGTATGAAGCGCTAATTTACGTTTTAATCGGGGGCAAAATAACCTTATTCTAAGTTCGACTTGAGTGCAGTAATTTGTGGTGTATTGACTTGAAAATAATAATAACACAATTTGCAAATAATTGCATTAATGCCAAAACGTCAAATTATGATTAAAATTAAAGAAAAAAATTTTAAAATTAAAAAAAAATATTACTTTTAATATTTTTTACCTTCGGTGTTTTCAAGGTACCAAAACTAGTTTTTAAACCTTCTCCAGTATTTATATGAAAACAAACATATGTATGTACATATATTTGATTAATTTTATGTATATCTAATTATATATACCCGACAGCTATAGCCCTGCCAAAAATTAATTACATACTAAATTAGTCAACTAAAAGTATTAACAAATATTTCAATTAAAATTTTAATATTAAATACACAAAATGTGGCAACGCTATGTTTACTTATTTTTATACATACAAATATAGTGAAAAACAAGTCAAGAAAAAAGTATAATATTCATTGGAGGCGTTCTCGAGTTACTTGGGTGTCGAAATAATCAAACTGGGTTGAACAAAAATTCAAGATCTCCTCTAATATCTTAGAAAGGTTCTTGCAAGCTGTATGCATGCTATGAGAGAAAAATGTGCAGCCGTTACCCTGCTTAAAGTTTAGTTTAGTTACATAAAAATTTTGGATTCGTAACAAACAAATAAATATTATAATATTTTATATTTTTTCATCTTTAAATTAACTTTATTGAAAACGATTTTGTTAAATGTGTTATTTAATTCTATAACATCTCTAGAATATTTTCCTATATGCTCAAGTTAATCTGAGTAATAGTTCTAGAGATACAGCCTTGAAAAGTTGCGCGCTCGAGGTCAGTTATATAGTCACCTAAAACTTTTAGCTCATTTTTCTCGAAGCTGTGTTTTCAAGGTCGGTTGTTAAGATTACTCGATACTCTACTCAACCAATCTTAATGAAATTTTACACGGTTCTTTGAGGTATAGTTTACATGGTCTTGAATGAAGGATTTTCTTTAATTTTAACTACAATTTCAAAGACATTGAGAAATAGTCACCAAAATTAGTATTTGTTTTTATCAAAACGTCTGCTGAAAATACAAATTTCACTGTTTTTTCTTCGTCTAATACCTAGTTTTCATGATCAACGCGGAGACACCTTTTTTCCGAGGGCCTGCCGGAAATAACGTCGTAATGACCTAGTTTTGAATATTTTCCTTTGAAATTTTCACAAAATCTTTTTAAAATACGTATCTTTGAAATAATAAAAAGTTTGAACAAAATAATTAATTTTTAATATGAAAAAATATATATTGAATATTTACTGTTTTTTACTCAAATAGGGTAAATAGCCTTGGTGTTCTACTTCTTGGCTTATTCTTTTCGCCACGCTCAATATAAATGTAATTTGTTATATACCAGTGGTTTGTTTGTTACGCGACTCTACACAGAATAACTGATAATATTAATCAGAGAATGAAACATAAAGTACTAGCCTTAAGAAACATTCGATACTACACGGTGGGTTTTTCGAGTTTGAACACCCATGGGTGTCCCATTGTAATTTTGTGTATAGTAATCCCTTTTTCGAAAACCTGGTTCCGCCCCTGAAACAAAGCCTCCTAAATTTTTTGTTCGAAATTTCAATAAAAATTTCGAATCGATAAGCTTATTTTTGAATAGAAAACGGGTTTCGAAGTATTTATTAATATGAAATCTAGGTTCTTAAGAACCTACCACCAGATTTCACTAATTATTGTTTAAATAGAAATTTTTATAAAAAAACATGTCACACTAAACATCTGCTGACAGTTAATTTTCATAAAAGAAAATTCATCAAGTTGATTCTATCGAAAACAATTTTTTTTTTTATTTTTTTAGTATAACATAACCTCAAATGATACAATTATTTATTATTATGAAATAAAGAGTGTTGAAATGTAATAGTAGCAATTGTAACGGCTTGCCGTAGATCGTGAGGTCACAGATAGATGTTATTAAATACGGAAAAGCAACGGCTGTGTTCCAGTTTCATACAAAAGCGCTTGAATTTTACTAAACTGAAGAGTTGCTGTAGAATTTCACGAACTTGTGTTTACAAATAAGTACTTTTGAGACGTAAAGGGAAGACACGTGAAAGGGAATATCATTAAATAACTGGAATACTCAATTCCTCGCTAAATTTAATAGATTCATAGGCTATTATTAAAAGAAATTTACCTTTTTTTACTCTTCTCAAACTAGCTTCCAAATTCTTCAAATAAACTATTAATAAACTCTCTCTTTCTCTTTATATTTGCAGTGCGGGACCCTAGACGCACACTCCGAATCGTCATATCACTATCAACAGCGTTCGAACAGAATGGATGTCTATCAAATTGACGACGGTTTCCACTCGGACGGTGGCACTGAGACGCCACCACCCTCACCCAGTTCGGGTTCATCGATAGCTTCGGCTTCGGATCATGGCTCATTGGAGAGTGTCGACACGGGCGGTACACAACGTTTGGCCGTGCTCTCATTCGAACAGGTGCGTAAATTGCACGATGTCATGGACGAAAAGGTGGCCATACATGGACGTGGTAATTTCCCCACACTTGAAGTACCGCTCAAAGATTTGGTCAATATGGTACGTCGCAAATTGGAGGCAGATGTTAGTGTTGGCGGTGCCGGTGTGATAGTCAAGGATGTGCGCTTAAATGGTGGCGCAGCTAGTCATGTTTTAGCTTCCGAGAATCAGCCATACAATGACTTGGACTTGATCTATGCCATTGAATTGACATCGACACGTCACTTTGATCGCGTCAAATCGGCCGTGCTCAATACATTGTTAGACCTCTTGCCGGAGGGTGTGTGCAAACGGCGCATTATGCCGTGCGCTTTGAAGGAGGCTTACGTCGGCAAAATGGTTAAGGTGAATAATAATAACGACGGTGATCGTTGGTCACTAATATCGCTCGGCAATTCGCCGGGTCACAAGAATGTCGAACTGAAATTTGTCGACACAATGCGACGTCAGTTTGAATTCTCAGTCGATTCGTTTCAAATCGTTTTGGACTCGTTGCTACTCTTCTACGACTGTGCCGCCTTACCCATATCGGAGAATTTCTATCCAACTGTGGTCGGTGAATCGGTATATGGCGACTTTCAGGAGGCGCTCTATCATTTGCAAAAGAAATTGATCTCAACACGACAGCCGGAAGAGATACGCGGTGGCGGTTTGCTCAAGTATTGCAATCTCTTGGTGCGCAATTATAAGCCAGTCGATCCGCAACATATCAAGACCCTAGAACGTTATATGTGCTCACGATTCTTCATCGATTTCCCCGACATCAATACGCAGACCAAAAAGCTGGAGGCGTACTTGTCCAATCACTTCTGGGGTGTCGACGAGGAGCCCCTACAATATCAGTACCTGATGCATTTACGCGAAGTTGTCGAAATGTCTACGGTGTGCCTGATGGGGCACGAGCGGCGGCAGACCATGTTGCTCATACAGAATTTGGCCACGAATGTGCTCTACAAGGAGCAGAAGAAGCAGCAACAGGCGCAGGAGCAATATCAACAACAGCAACAACAACAACAACATCACCTACATCACCATCACCATCAACAACAACAGCAGCAGCCAGTCGATGTGCAAACAACACAAGCACAACAGCACCAGCAACAACAACAACAGCAGTCACATCAACAAGTAACGCTGGTCACAGCACAGCACCAACAACAACCACAACAATTGCAAGCGCCGCAAACACAGACAATCTACTTGCAGGCGGCGCCCACAGCTTCACCACAAACAACAACAGCGACCATCTGCTGTACGACAGCCACCGGCGAACAGCAGCAACAACAAGTGCAAGTACAGCAACAGCCACAAGTGCAGGCGATACAGACACACGCCGCTGTGGCCCAGCCGACAACCACCATTTTGGTCTACAATGGCGTCTACTATGCACCTGTGATTCCGGCTATTTGCACATGCAACCAAACGTGGTTGAGCACGTGATTGACGAACGAGCCGGCGACGGGGCAAACAGACGCAACAACAACAACAACAGCAACAGTGACAACAAGCGCAGCAGCAGTAACAACAACAACAAATACAACAGCAACAGCAGTAGAGGCCACAGTGATGGGGGCACGGCAACAACAACAGGAACTACAACAACAAGCGTCAGCGGCCACAGCTTTTGACTATCAGCAAACTGAAGTGGCAACAACAGCAGCAGCAGCAGACGCAGACGCAAGCCATCCACAATCAAGCGGCAATTGCAATTGCAACAACAACAATATTTGCGCCGTTGTGCCGACATATGCGTTAAATGCTAATACAACAACAGCAGCCACCAACTGCAGCAGCTATGCTACAACAACACCACTTGCAACTTATGTGCCGTCGGCAAGCACAGCACCAACAACAACAACGGTTGCTACGCCGACAGCTAATAATATGCTGGCGATTCCCTGCTACGACGCGCAATGCCTATTGCAACACCAGCAGCAGCAGCAGCAACAACAAGCACAGTTGCTGCAACAAGAGCAAACGCAATTGTTGCAAGAGCAACAAACGCAATTGTTGCAGCAACAACAAACGCAATTGTTGCAGCAACAACAAACGCAAATTTTGCAACAACAACAAACGCAAGTTTTGCAACAACAACAACAATCGAAATTTTTGCAACAACAACAGCAAGCGCAATTGTTGCAGCAACAGTTGCTAACAACACACCATCCATCATCCACTTACTATGTGCAGCAAATGCCAACCACGGCATTGTCTGCACTACCACCATTACCACTACCACAACAACCGTTCTCATTGCAAATGCAGTTGCCATTGTTGGAACAACAACATAACCAACAATTGCTTTTGCAACAATATCAACGGCAGCAACAACAACAACAACCGCAAATAGCTGTCTACTTCGCTCCGCAGCAACAGTTCTTGCCACAACAACAACAACAGCAATTTGTGCATTATTATCCTTATGAGCCTACCGCTGCTGTCTACAGCAGCTGATGGGCGTCAAAGTAGGTGCCAGAGGTGCATAGGCTAGACAACTAAGTGCTGTCAAAGACACCAAATTGTCCTCCTTTTTTTTTGTAAAGACAAATCAAGAATAAGTTTTTTCTTCACAATTTATTAAACACTTTTGCACTGTTAAAGGATTTGTTCATTAGAAATTTTTGAGAGAAGCAAATTTAGAAATAGTAAGGTTGTGAAACAGTGTGCTTTCGAAAAATTAACCTTTAGAGAAACAAAGCTTTTATTAAAAAGTGAGCTTTGTAGAAACGTGCCTTCGACAAATCAAGCTTTCAGTGAGGGCTAACATTTGATCTTCAGAGAAAAGGGATTTCCAAAAAACTAAACGTTCGAAAAGATTGAGCTTTTATTCGAAGTTGAATTTCGTCAAATTTTGCTTTCGACAAATTTAGGCTCTGACATCTTCGATCTACAGATAATGAAGCTTTAAAAAACAAAAAGTTTACGGAATAGTCGAGCTTTCATTAAAAATTGAACTTTGCAAAAATGTGCCTTCGACAAATCAAGTTTTCAGTGAGCGCTAACAGCTTTGTTCAACAAATACTAGAGCTTTCAAAAAAAAAAAACAAGCTTTCATTAACAATTAAACTTTGTCGAATTATGTCTTCGGAAAATTATGCTTCCAGTAAATGTTTACTTTCCATATTGAGAAATATCAAAATTGCAGAAATTTTATACTCAATTTTTTTTGTTGTAATTTCGAAAATTTTTAATATGCTCCTAATTTCAACTGCTGAAAGTTTTTACGAAAATGTAAGCTCCACATTGCGCACTGTTGTCATTTTAGGCATGGGTTTAATAGATTTATAGTTAATAGAATTTTATGTTTGAAAGCTTACAGAATTTCGACTACTGAATAAAGCAAAAATTAAGCTCCCACCCACTTAAGACAGTATTGATTACAGAAAAAACGCAATTATCTGCGAGTTGTGCTTTGAAAGTTTAATAAAGAACTCAGCGATTAAAGTACAAATTTCTTCGAATCCTCATGCAGATTACCGCTGTGTGTACTGGAGTTGCATACCTTTAGACGCCAAACAGCTGTTGCGCTGCATACCTGCATTGCTCAACTATTGTTTTTGTTGTTGCTCTTGGTCACTATTTACTTCCGCTAATTTTCATTCTCACTCTCTCCCCTCATTATCATTGCATCTCTCTCTCTCTCTCTCTCTCTCTCTCCCTCTTGCTGCGGCGTTGTAACCTTACAACTTGACTGCTTTGCTGCTCGTTACATGTCGGCTTGCGTCACTGCTACCACGTTGTGTTACGTTGGTTGGTTTGTGTCCACACTAATTATTGTTAACTGTGTACTTTATTATAATATTTTTATTTTTTATACCATACTTACTACTATTTACATAATAATTTACAACATAAATGTTTACAAACACACACATACACATATATATACATACATATGCAATGATTACGATGTACTGCATCTAATGTAATGAGTAAAGAAAAAGAAAAAAATATTAAAAAAAATACAAAAACGAAAAACTTTATAGTGATGTTAATTTGATTTCCATTAATTTATAATTACTATGTATTCATATGTATATTATATATAAAAATGTTGACGCTACTCCTCTATTGATTTGTAATTTCTTGACATTGAATTCTTTATTTACCGTTATGTTTGATTTTTTTTTATTGTACTCACTGTTTTTACGCCACATATTTAATATAGCGGTGAAAACTGCAAAAGTTGATGTTATTGTGGTAAGATTGAAGAAGAAGAAGAAGAAAATACAAGTGAGGAATTGTGAAGAAAGTGATTGTAAGCAAAAAAAGAGAATGTAAAACATTAAAAATAATGAAAATAAAGATTGAAAATAATACTACGATATTGCGATTGTTGTCATGTTAATTATACATATATACATATGTAATATGGTATCTTTTCTAATTATTTTGTATTTAATTATAAGATGAACTTGCCTGCGTGCAGCAGTGTTATTTAGACACACACACACACACATACTACATGTAATACCTATCGCAAATTACGCTGCAGCGTTACGAAAGCAGTTGTGTATGTGCGATTACGTTAACTTTCGTTTTTATTAATTTTCCATAGAATTTAGTCTGCATTATTGCATATAAATATATCTACGTACATATATATATACATATATTATACTTATAAAAATATATCTAATTACATACAAAAAAAAAACTACTACTACTATACACATACATACATATAAAAACTTTATACATGCAAATATACCAACAAGCGTATAAATAGAGAAAATATATAATGTGAAAAAGTAAATAAAAAAATGAAATAATCAAATAATATAATATATAATACAAAAAATGTTAATAAATATAACAAATAAAAAATAAAATAAAATAAAAAATTAAATAAGTTAATTAATAAAATTAATTTTATAAAGCAAATAAATAAAAAATATTTTGAAAAAAATTTAAAACAAAAATCATAAAGAAGAAATAAATAAAAAATAAAAATAAATAAAAAAATTTTAGAAACTAACAAAAAAAATTTATAAAAAAAATAAAAATTATAATAAAAAAATTTTAGTGAAAAGAAAATTAAAAAAATTAAACAAATGTCAAATGAAATAATTAAATAATTAAATAAAACAATATAACAATTAATAATACAAAGAAAATAAAAAATGAATAGTAAAAAATTTACATTAAAAAAGAAATAATGGGTAGAAAAATATTTTGAAAAAAATGTATAACATATTTTAAAAAAAAAGGAATAACAAAAATCAAAATGAATAAATAAATAAAAATAAAATATATATAAATTAAAAAAATTAAATACAACTTTTAATAAAATAAAATAAAAAAATAAATGATAATAATAAAAAAGTTAAAAATTAAATTAATTAATATATAAAATTAAAACTTTTAATATAAAAAATTATTTAAAACAAATTGAAGAAAAAATTGTATCTCTTTGACATTGCGCTCAATTATTGACATTGAACCAGCACCGCCACACACAAACACAACTAAATATACACATACACATTTATATATACAGACATACACACACTTTGTTAATATTTAAGAGATTTTAAATACTTATATATGTAATTATTAGTAGCAAGAAAAAGCATTACAATTCACAATACTTGTATGTATGTATAATTATGTTTATAAGCGGCGAAAAGTTAAGTGAAAAACAAAAACAAATAAATAACATGTGTGGTGCGTGCAATAAATAATGACAAAGAGAACAACAACACAAATATGTATATATGTAAATGGCATAAAATAATATATACATATGTACATAAAAGAAAACATAAAATCACTGTGTACTTTTGGAAACTTCGCAAAAATTTATGAAATACAATAACAACAAATCTTAAAAAAAAATAATTCTCAAAAACAAAAAAAAAAAAAACAAGAAACTCTCAAACAAAAAACTTAAAAAAGTACATATATTATATATGTATAAGCTTTTCAGCCGCCCAGAAATTAACGAAAAGCAAAAATAGTTGTAAATCTATCTAAAGTTAAACAACAACTATGTGTGTAACTAGCGTTTATTGTAAATGTATGTTGCAACATTTTCTCTAAGAAAACTAACTGTTAACTAAATATGTACATGATTATATGCTTGTAACCGAACATTAACTGCATGCGAAGAGCGGAGTGGTGAAAAAAGTCGATAAACGTTTGCCAAGATTTAACACAGAATTAATTTAAAAAATCTTTAAACATGAAATTTGTGTGAAGAAAACTACACACACGCGAAATTGAGTAGCTTTTTCGAAAATTTTGTTTTCAAAACGTGTTTGAAAATTTGGTAAAAGGGCAATTGATGTGTATTATTTACAAACATTTCTAAGAAAGTTCATTCTTTTGAAAATGTAAAAAAACACTGTTTTGATCAAGACAATTTTTTAAAAATTTTAAAAAATATGTTATGCGTTTACTTACTTAAAATAAAATTGCAAACACTAATTTAGAGCTTTTGGCTTAGTTGCCATATAATTTTGGCTGGTTTATTGTATTTTACTATAAGTAAACTTTTTTCAATTAATGAAAATTTAAAATAAATTTGAAATATGCAATTTTCCAATTAATTTTCATTTGGATTTGCAACATCTTTTTCATTAATTTCCGGCTTCAAAAAACTGTAAAATATTACCATCATAGCAAATTTCGAATTTTAATTTATGAAAACTTTGAATTCACTTTTACTTGAAGCTTGTTTATATTTAAACTTTTTTCTCTTAATTTGCTGTAAAAAAATGTTTTGAAATATTCTATTTCTTTTTATCGATTTTTGAACATTTTGTGACACAAATATTTTTAAATAATAATTTTTTCAATTCAAAATCATATGGAGTTATTGAACTTCTACATTCATTTCGAACCAAAAAAACAAAAGAAAACTTTAAAATTTTAAAATTACATACATTAGTGCAATTTACAAACTCCGCATAATATTTTTGTTATAAAAAGAAGAAAAAGGTATAAAAACGCTCAAAAAAAAAACATGGAAAAAATTATCGAAAAATGTCAGCAGTATTTGGCATTTAAAAACTTAAACAACAAATTAAAAACAGGGAACAAATTCTTTAAAAATAACCCTCAGTGGCGCTGCCCTTCTACGCTTGCTAAGCACGAAAGAGAGAGTTGAACCTGCGCAAGCAAGTAAATTTCACTACCCGTAAGGGCATACAAACACATAGGCATATATAAATTACAACAACATGTAAAAAGCGAAGCAAAACGATGCGCATGCGCGCAAACGAAAATCCACACACACCAACAAATACCACTTCTAAAGAATTTTTACTAAATAATAATTATAAACTTGAAATAAAACCGAAATCACAAAAGAATCATCTAAAATAAAGTTGTATGTGTTAGTTTAAGAAGTATAAATATAGAAACAAAAATTATTTGAAAAAATTACTAATTTTAAGTGATAATCTTTAAATGCATAAATATAAATAATCTCTATTGTAAATGTAATAAAACTATAAAAATAAAGAAACAAGAAAAAAAACTACAAACAACAAATATTTTGAGTGTATTTACTGTGAGATGCTGAGTTTATAGTACATAACTGTGTATTTGTATTTGTAAATTGAGAAAATAATTAAATTTAATTTAATTAATAAAAATAAAACAAAACCTGGAATAAAAAGCAGGGCAGTTAGGGAAGAAAATTTCGCAAACGGAGGAAATGTGAAATAAAAGTCCATTTTGAGAGAAATTCGAAAGCGAGAAACTTCAGAGAATAGACAAAAGGAAGTTATATAAACTAAGCAAATGCAAAAACATAAATACCAAGACATACATACAAACACATATGTATATTAATAATTGTTATTGTATACGATTGCGAGAAGTGTTTTGAGGTTACATAATGCGAGCAAGGGAAAAAAAATAAAGAAATAAAAAAATCAATACAAAAATACAATATTTAAATATTAAGGAGAAATGACAAAAAAACAAACAAAACGACTACTTGGTGATAATGCAAAGAATGATAATTTTTATATACATACAAACATTCAAAAAAAATTTATACGAACACACTGACACACATACACGAGCATGTGAAGCTGCTAAAAAAAAAAGCTGATAACAATGTGGCGGTATTTATTTCACGAAACGGTATTGCAGAGATGAAAAAAAAATACTTTTTAAATTTTATTAAATTTTTTTTATGTTTTATTTTTAATTTCTTTGTCCAAAATTTGGCTGCTGGTAATGAAAGAGCAAGATGCGAGAAAAAAAATTTAAGTAAATATGTTTCAAAGGTCATAAAAAACAACAGAGAGGTTAAATTAATAAAAATCATGAATGAATACCAAAACAAAAAACAAAAAATGTATGGGCTACATGCATTAGCCTCTTTTCCCTATAATGAAAGTAAGTGAAAACTTTCCACAAATTTCTCAAAAAGAAAACAAGAAATTATTGCAATTTTTCCACATATTTTTCAATAAAAAAATTTAATTATTGCAATAAAAGTAAAAAGCTGAAAAAATACAATAGTAATGAATAAAAGCAGAAATAATTTAATTGTAAAGACTTGCAGCTATTAAGAAGCTAAACCGAAGCAGAATATTTAGCAAGTGCAAAGAGCAGAACCGATTTTAAGCTCAAGAGCACAGTGAACAGACTTAAAACCTATTACAAAAACAAATGTAACAAACTGAGAAAAAAGCGAACATGCAATTTGTTCAAAATATATGTATTTTAATAAATAAAAAAATTTTGATATTGTTTAATTTTTCTAAATATGTGTAACATTTTTTCCAGTTAAAAAAAAATTTCAAAAAATTAATTCCAAAAGCTAAAAACAATTTTAAAAATTCTGAAAAATAATATTTATTTTAAGAAATTTTAAAAACTTAAACTATTCACAACAATTCAAAAAAAAATTCGAAAATCAAAAATAATATTTAGCGCAATTTTGGAAACTCAAACGCCTGTTTTTAAAAAGCTTTAAAAATTGTAAAAAGAAAAAAACATTATGGATAATTATGAAACTGAAAAATATTAAATATTTCTAAAATATAAAGAAAACCACCGTAACATTTTTCAAAAATTAAAAACTTATTGCGGAATTCGGACTGTGTCATAATACCGATTCTAGACAGTATTAAAAATTTTTTTTTTTTCAAAAGGCTACAATTGTGAAACTGAAAAAGAAGAAACGATTTTTAAACAAAACAATTAAATTAAAAAGTATTTCAAACAAAAATGATATATCTAAGTATTTCTTCGTTTCTGTTTAAGTATTCGGTGTTATAAAAATAAAATAATAAAATTCTAGCAAGAA